GTATAAAGGAAAACGAAATGCCACCAAATTATGTTGTTGGCCCGCGGTTTACAACAGCGGCTCCCGCCTGTTACTTCCTCACAATGTATTCCCGAATCGCGCTCTCGCGCGGGACTTCCTGACAATTTATGCACGAGCCGCACTCTCTCGTTGGACTTCCTCGCAATGTATCCAGATGCCGCGCCATCGACACTCTGGAATCACACTCTGGGTGTTGATTTCCTCACGATGTATTTGAGAAACGCGCTGTCGCTCGAAACTTCCTCGCGATTCGCGCAAGACGCACGCTTCAACAACCCGCCTGCTCGACCTGACCGTTTGGGCCCGCCTTCCCGACCCGCCAGCAGCGGCTCCCACCTGATACACCTCACAAGTAATTCCCAAATCGCGCTATCGCGAGGGACTTCTTCATAAGTTATAAAGGAATCGCGCTCTCGCGTGGGACTCTTGCAATGTATGCAAACGCTGCGCCGTCGATACTCAGGAATCACGCTCCAAATTGCGCTCTCGCGCGGGACTTCCTCACACTTTATATGTACGAATCGCACTCTCTCGTCTGACTTCCTCGCCATGTATTCAAACGCCGCGCCGTCGACACTCAGGAATCATACTCGCGCGGTTGATTTCCTCACGGTGTATTTGGGAATCGCGCTGTCGCTCGAGATTTGAGCGATTCATGTTGGACGCACGCTTCGGCAACCCGCCTGCTCGACCTGGCCACTTGGGCCCGCCTTCCCGACCCGCCCGCTAGGGTCTATCCGCCCGATCTGCCCGTCTGGTTCTGCCACATGTGTTCTGCTACCAGGCCCCCCTCCTGCTACTCCCTTTCGTGCTCCATCCTCCTCCCTTCCCCTCGTCCCTTCCTTCCATCAGTCGTCTCTTTCCCTGCCTTAAGTGAAGGGGCCCTGGGACACACAAATAAATAGACACACAAAAAAAGGATCCCCCATATTTTCCTATATTTTCTGGGTTTCTGTCTCCCCCCCCACTTCCCATATTTTCCCATATCTTCTTGGGAATCGAGGATTAATTGTGTCTGTGTGTTTTTTCCTCTCCTGATTAAAGGCTGCCCGAAAGACACGTTGCACTTCGGATACATAAACCCCCGAGGGGGCACGATCGAAGACGAAGGGGGCAGGTATCGAGGATTTGGGATAGACGTGTTGAATGGCGCGCGAGCAGTTAAGAACGAACAGTCTTAGCATGATTAATGTTGTTGTTGTTGTTGTTGTTGTTGTTGTTGTTGTTGTTGTTGTTGTTGTTAGTTGTTGTTGTTGAGTTCTCACTACTGAAGAATGATGATTGTTGAGCCCCTCCTCCGGCAACATATGTGGTTTTTAATTGAAGTGCCCCTCCCAGCGCTCGCACCCTGTTTTTGTATCACAGAAAACCGTCCTGCTCAAACTGTGTTGTTGGGCCCCGGTTTACAGCAACAGTGGTTCCCGCCTGATACTTCCCGTAGATTAACTGAAGAATGGCGCTCTCGCTAGGGATTCCTTGCAATTTATCCCAGAATCGCGCTCGTGCTTGTGACTTCCTCGCAATTTATTCAGGCGCCACGCCCTCGCCATTCAGGAATCGCGCTCTCGCCTGGGACTTTATCATACTTTACTTAGAAATCGCGCTCTCGCCCGAGACCTCCTGGCGAATTATGCAGGACTCACGCATTCGCGTAACATACGTGCTTTTTCATTTGAAGTGCACCCCCCTCCTGCAGCTCGCTGTGTTTCTACCGGGGAAAGTTTTCCTGCTCAAACTGTGCCCCCGGCCCCCCGTTTAACAGCAACAACGGCTCACGCTTGATATTTCCCCACAGTGTATTCCCAAATCGCGCTCTCGCGAGGGACTTCCTCAGAATTGAATGCAGGAATTACGCTCTTGCGTGAAACACCTTGCCAGTTCATTCAGACTCGACGCCCTCGACACTCAGGAATCACGCTCTCGCTGTGGATTTTTTCAAGATGTATTGGGGAATCGTGCTATTGCTTAAAAAACTTCGACCTGGCCGTCTAAGCCCGCCTTCCCGACCTGCCTGTTAGGGTCTACCCGCCCAATCTGCCCGTCTGGTCCTGCCACGTTTTTTTCTGCTCCTAGCCCACCGCCTGCTATATTCTCTCGTGCTCCATCTTCTTCCCTCCTCCTTGTTCCTTCATTCCATCCGTCCTCTCTCTCTGCCTTCGGGGCTGCACGAAATACACACGTTGCAGATAAGAAGGATACACCCTGGAGGGGGCACGATCGAAGACGAAGAGGGCGGGTATCGAGGGATTGGGATATACGTTGAGTGGCACGAGAGTAAGGAAGAGCGAACAACCTAGCAATTGTTGTTGCTGTTGTTGTAGTAATGTTTAGTAGTAGTGGCAGTAGTGATAGTAGTGGCAGTAGTAGTAGTAGTAGTAGTAGTAATAGTAGTAGTAGTAGTAGTCGTAGTCGTAGTAGTAGTAGTAGTAGTAGTAGTAGTAGTAGTAGTAGTAGTAGTAGTAGTAGTAGTAGTAGTAGTAGTAGTAGTAGTAGTAGTAGTAGTAGTAGTGGTAGTGGTAGTGGTAGTGGTAGTAGTAGTAGTTGTAGTAGTAGTCGTAGTAGTAGTAGTAGTAGTAGTTGTTGTAGTAGTTGTAAGTGTTGTTGTTAGTACTATTGTTGTTGTTGTTGTAAGCCGAGGGCCAGGGAGCCAATGTGAGCCTCAATAATTTCCCTTGTTGAAGGGAGGGTGCGAGTCCCGAGAGGAGCAGCATCAATGAACAGTGCACGTGTCGCCAAATGTTTGGATCACCGACTCTTCTTCTCTAAGAATGAAAATTCAACAACGCAGCAACAAAAACAGTCCGCACTGCGGAACCCCACTTCAGCCACGCGCCAAGGGACAATGAATGACCGCTCGGCCCCCAAATTCATATAAGTGTCTCGTGTTCATCGTCCTCGTCCGCTTCCTCCTCCTCCTCATCCTCGCGCAAGGTCGCCACGGGAGGGGAGGGAGACTTCGGCAAGCAGCTCGCAGGCTCGACGCCGTCGCAGCCCATCGTCATTATCGCAAAATTTGTGCTTTCAGACAACAAGCAACTGGCAGAACTGACGGCAACCGTGTATCGAACGTTCGCCATCGACGCAAGCGTGGGACTGGCAAATACCATGGAGGAGTCGGGACAGCCGTACAACGCCGTATCTCAAAGCCTCAAAGACAAGCAAACGTCGGGATAACAAGTCAATTGGAGAACACGTGGGCCACCATTCGTAGAGATGTTCATGGCGTCGATGCTGTGGGCGGCGAAGAAGGCGGACATCCAGGACGCTCCAGAGTGGGCGAAAGTTATCCAGATGATGTGGGCGGAGAAGATCAGAAAGAGGGGGATGAACGAGGTCGGCGGCGTGGTGCTTCACTGGCAGTGAAACGCAACAAGGGCAAGCAGACGGAGACGGACAGTAACAGGGGCAGGATCATTTCTGCCATCGGCACCACCAGCCAGCTCGGCCACGAGCTACTGAAGCAGATCGAGATCATGACCGCCGGACTCAAGGCGGAGAGGAAGATCGGACCAGCCCCCCGCGGGCCACACGAGAGGGCTGCAAGCAATTCGTTGGCACAGATCAAGTCGTCGGCAGCGTGAGCAGCAAAGTACAGCAACGGATCACTGAGCAGAGTGAGAGCGCAGGTAGACCTTCTCAGCCCAGTAGTAGCAGCGGACAGAAAAATTCCGTTAGGCAGAATTTGTTGGAGAATGTGCGCGCTAGTGCGAGATTAACCGAGCTGATCGCCCCAGGGTTTGTTAGTTCTGATGTTTGTGGACCCGAGCCCTCACCCTGTCCCCTCAGCCTACAGCCCTGGAGTAGTGAACACACCCCCATTCAAAGGGAAGAGTTGCACAAAGGGAGAGGCAAGAGAGGGAAGGGCAAAAGAAAGGGCAAGGGTCGGTAGTAGTGTGCAGTGGTCCCCACCGTGGGCCCCTCGTTAAGCTGCGTGCCGAATTCGGGGGTGCTCGCAGGGGCGGTGCGGCGTCCGTCGAGAGCCACGGGCCGCATCGGAAGGTTTGGCGGCATCACGCTTCGCCCCCCAGAGTTCACCCTGCCCCACTCCGCTAGGCAGGCAGCTGGCAGGCGATGAGCAGCAGCAGACGAACTCCAACGGGCCTGATCCTGATCCTGATCCTCCTCCTCCTCCTCCTCCTGAACCCCGGCACTAAGAATTCACACGCAAGAGTGATCCTTGCAGCGGCTTCGTACTGAGATATTTCGAGCCGACGCCATAAACTGCACGAGTCCAGCCCGATCCTCCTTGTCCTCCTCCCTTCCTCCTTGTCCTCATCCTACGTATTACTCCACCTCCTCCTCCTCTGTCCTCCGCCTCCTCCTCCCCCTCGTCCTCCTCCTCCTCCGCCTCCTCCTCTTCCTCCTCCTCCTCCTGCCTGCCTCCTCCTCCTCCTGCTCCTGCTCCTCCTGCTCCTGCTCCTCCTCCTCCTCCTCTTCCTCCTCCTCCTCCTCCTCCTCCTCCTCCTCCTCGACCGGGTGCCATGAGCGCGTGCCCCCCAACGACGTAAAGGAGCAACGCCCTGGCGTCCACACCCACCAACCCTCCTCCGTCCGATGCCCCTCCCAAGCCCCCTCCCCCTTCCTTTCGGCCGCCACACTTGCGGAGCCGAGGCTCGGAGCAGAGCGAGGCGAGTCAATTTTGAGACAACGGCAGCTCACAAACTGCCCCCCGACCCCTCCCGGGGTCCAAACGAACCAGTTCTCCGAGATGCGTCCAGCCGTAGCGACGAGAGGCCACCCCGAAGGTCAACTACAATTGTCTCAACTGGGCCTCCCCTAAAGTCGGACGCGGCGACAAAATGCTACGTGGCGAGAAATGACGACTGGAGCCCTGCGATGGTCCCTGGGTCATCACAGATCGATCCGGCTAGAAAAATGCAGCAACCCCGAATCCCGAGAACGCCCGCTGCGAAAAAACATCGCAACGTCTGGATCTCAGGGTACACTGGCCCTGCTCTGAGAGGCGGGCCCGGGCGCGCCTGGCAGGATGCTGTCGCGGCAGCGGCAGCGACGGCGTCCCCGGAGCGCCCCCCCGACCAGCGGCCGGCGAGGGCGCCAGCAGCGCCCGGGCCGCCAGCGTCTTCCGCGCCTCCGCGCGCAGGCGGGCTCGCTGCGCTGCCGACGCGCGCGCAACCGCCGCGGGGCTACCGCCGCTGGCCCGCGTCGGCGCGCCCGGCGCGCCCGAGCCAGGCGCGGCGGCGGCGTCCGCTGACGGCGGCTTCTTGCCCAGACCTCCCGAGTCATGACAAAAATTGTGACGGGAGGTTTCTCGCTGTATGCGGCCTCCAGCAGCCCCTCCCCTGCCTAGGGGCCATCAAAAACGGCTCGGGAAGAGACACTGGTCCCTGGGAAGGGGTCGACACCTCGATCTGGTCGGCGCCATTGAAAAATCATGGCGTCGGGGGTCTGGGCTCTTGTCCTTGTGGATGCTGCGGCGGACGCCCTTCGCCGCGGCGGGCGCCTCGGCCTTGGCGCCCCTGCGGGCCTTGCCCATGGCTGCCCTCGGCTGACAGGGCGACGAAATCTGCACATACCCACTGCCCCCTGGCCAGGGCCATCCTGAACTCAGCAGCGGTGTGTACGCCACGCCCTCCTGGCTTGGCCAGGAGGGCGTATACACAGCTCCTGGGCCCTTGAAGGGCACGGGCCAGAGGGCAGCCTTAATTAGGCATGCGACGTCCTGAATTTTCCAACACGTGGCCCCCAGAAGCCTCGACTCTTTCCCAAGGGCCAGTATTTCATCGCGAGTCCTTTTTGTGACGGTCCCGAGGCCTGGCGAGGGCCTCGCGAAGCCGAAAACTGCCTCGACCCCTCCGTCGTGTTTCTTTCGCGACGCGAGCACGTCTGGGAGTGGAAATGCACACGGTATATCGATTTCGTCGTCCTCGGCTTAAACCTCGCCGCCCAGCCGGGCGCCAGGCGGGGGGTGCGAGGGGGCGGCCGTCCGCGGCTGCCGGGGCGGCGCTCGGGTCGAGCCGAAGCGGCCGCAGCCGGGAAGGGCAGGGGCGGGGGCGGGGAGGAGGAGCGAATGGATCCCAGACCCCCTCGAGCAGGGAAGGAATCACAACGCAATTTCTGTTCGCGATGTTCGGCCTCTGGGAGCCCTTGCCCGGTCTCGGGGCCGTCAAAAAACGACTCGGGATGAACCACTGGTCCCTGGGAGTGGGTCGAGACCTTTGGGTCGAGGCTATGTCTGCCGATCCGGCGTGTGAGTTTCTGAGAGCGTGGACTTGAGCTCGCTCAAGCTTCGCTCTGCAAGGGGGCGGGGGGGGCCCACACCATTCCCGACGCTGTTCCGACGCTCTGACCATGGAGGGGGAGGGGGGCGACGCCATTCTAAACGCCATTCCCGGCGCATGTCGTGTTCGCAAGACGCCTCCAAGACGCCACGATAGGTACCCAACCACCTGCGAAGAGAGACCAACGAGGTCCAAATTGTCAAATTCCGATGGGAAACCGTACATGTTTACCTGATACGACATTTCGGCCTTCACGACGTTGCCGACGGTTTCAGAGGCCCCCGAAACCGCGTCAAGACGGCTCAAGCGGCTCCCAAGACGACCCCCGAACGGCCCAAGAAGGCTCCACGACGGCCCATGAAGCGCCCAAGCCGGCTCAAGAGGGTTCCAAAACGGCCCCAGAAGAGGCCCAAGAGGGGGAGCCCGAACCGAAAATCCCAGCCTTTCCCCTCACGAGGTTCTCAAGAGGCTCCAAGAAGCCCCCAAGAAGACCCCAACTGGCCCCCAAGAAGCCCCCAGGAGGCCCCAGAAGGCCCCCAAGAGGCCCGAAAGAAACCCCCAAACGACCCCCAAGAGGCTTCCCCACGTCCCTTGCTCAATCCCCTGCGCATCAGTCGTCAAGCCTGAGGATTCTTCATAAGCCCGGACTCCAAGCTCTCAAATCTCTTGAGGCTCCCCGCGCGCCCTCTGGAGCTCACCAGCACCATCGAGGTCCTCACCGACTGCACCACCTTTAGTACCCTGAGAATTCACATCACCAACATCAGCACCACCGACATCATGATCAGCATCACTGTGGGCACACCGCTATCATCATCACAATCACAATCACCATCACCAGCATCACAACCCTGATTATCGTCGTCGCCATCACCATCTTCATCCTCTTCACCATGGCCATTCTCAGGATAAACAGTATCAGGCTCATCAGTTTCATCATCATCACCACCATCACCATCATCATCTTCATCATCATCCTCCTCATCATCATCGTCACCATCATCGTCATCACCGTCACCACCCGTATTCTTCACGCTTCGCGTATCCCCACCAGCTCGCCCTCCGTCCCTGACGTCTGGTGGTGTCCGTGCTGGCTTCTTTGAGCCTGGTGGAGTAACCCTGGCGTCCCGGTGACTTGCATGTCGACCAGCGCCAGCTAGCATGCTTGCATGTTCCTGGCCCCTGGCCCCCCGACACTGCCACAGCCTGGCCGTGTTTGCAGCTGCCGCCTTGACTGGTGGGATGCACCTCCACGCGGACTGCTCATGAGTGGTTTAGACTTCTTGTTCAACCACTTGAGGTTGCCACTGTTGGCATGCGACACAGGTACGCTGGACTGCTTGCTCAGCCCCGCGCGATGCCGTGCTCTGCTCGGTGGCGCGTTTACCTCTGGCGCCTGGCGCGACAGGGTACAATTCGTTTGCCTTCCTGGTGGTCTCGCCCCTGGGGTGGTTGCACTTCAGCCGCCTGGCACACCTGGCAGCTCTTGCAGCTCTGCCTTCAATCCTCGGCGTCGCCCGGCGTCCCTCGGCGGCAGCTCCAGCAGCCGTTCGTGCGCGCGCTAGGTAATTAGGTTTCGCTCGTAGCCTGGGCTGACTTCGGACGCCACCTGCGCTTTCGCTTGCGGCCGCGACCAAAAAATCCCTACCAGCTCACTCAGAAACCCTGCCCACGAGAGCTGACGGGAGGGACACAACTAGGGAAACAAAACGAGCAACCAGGATGAACCGAGAGATCTCTGAGAGCAAGGGGGTGGCCTTGGAAGGCCTCTTCGGGCCATCCCTGGGGGCCGCGTGGGGGCGAGGGGAAGAGGAGGAGGAAGAGGAGGAGGAGGCCTTTTGGGCGCCTCTTGGGGCACTCTTGGGGCCTCCTGGGAGCTTCCTGGGGGCCTCTTGGAAGGTTTGGGGGGGCCTTTGGGGGCTTCTTGGGGGCCTCTTTGGCCGCCTTAGGGCGTTCCTGGCTTGTCTGACGCCGTCGGAAGCCGTCTTGGGGGCCTGCCTGGGTCGTTTTGGAGCCCTCTTGGGGCATAGCAGGGGTTCTTAGAGGCCACCTTGGGCGCCTTGGAGGCCTCTTGGGCCGCTTTGGGGCCCTCTTGGGGCTGCCTTGGTGGCCTTTTGGGCCGTCATGGGGCCATATTGGAGGCCTCTTGGGCGATCTTGGGGGCCTCTTGTGCCGTCTTGAGCCGTCGGAATGCAGAGAAGAAGCAAATGCCACAAGATTTCAAACAGTTTAGGAACATCAATGATATTGGCCTCTTCGTGCCCTCCTGGAAGACCTCCTGGACGCCTTTTGGCCTGTCTTGGAGGCCTCTTGGGGGCCTCTTGGGCCGTCTTGCGCCATCTTGAGGCTATCTTAAGCCGTTGTGGGTGCATCTTGGGCCGTCTTGGAGGCATATTGGGGTCATCTTAGCCGTCTTGGAAGCCATGTTGGCCGTCTTGGAAACCATTTGGGCCCTCTTGGGGCCGTCTTGGGGGCCTCCTGGGCCATCTCAGGCCGTCTTGGGTGCATTTTGGGCCGTTTTGGAGGCATCTTGGGGCCATCTTAGCCGTCTTGGAGACCATCTTGGGCGGCTTGGAGGCCTCTGGGGCCGTCTTGGGGCCCTCTTGGGGCCCTCTTGGGGCTCTCTTGGAGCCCTCGTGGGGGCCCTAAAAGGCCTCTTGGAGCCATCTTGAAGGCCACCGATCAAAGGAAGAGCTGGGATAACGTTCGCCCCCCCTCCCCCCAAAGAGGCCAAAATGGGGCCAAAACCTTAGTAAAACCAATGATTGTGGCGCCCATAGGGCTGGTGGGATAGCGTCCCCCCCCTCCACAAAAGCCAAAATGGGGCCAAAACCTTAGTAAAACCAATGATTTTGGCACCCAGAGGGCTGGTGGGGCATCGTTCGCCCCCCCCCTTCCCCAAAGAGGCCACAATGGAGCCAAAACCTTAGTAAAACTATTGAGTTTGGCTCGCTCGCCGAGGCCGTCTTGGACGCCCCGACACCTCGCGGGGGGGCCCGAAAAAAATTCATGGAAGGGGTAAGAGAACCCCTTCCCGTAGGGGAAGAGGGTTTGTTTTTTCGGGGGGGAGGGAAGAGGAATCTCGTGAGACCACCTGTCGCCCAAAGCGCCGGTGGGAACCACCATGATTATCCGAAGCGCCCAGGATCGGCGGCACTTGCCGGAAGCAAGTACAACATACCCTTCATATACATGCGTGTGTAAATATATACACGTATATATATATATACACATATATATATATGAATATGTATATATATACATATCTACATATATATATATATACATACATACATAAATATGTTGAAAAAAAAGCCTTGGCGTCGGGGGTATGGGCTCTTGTCTTTGTGGATGCTGCGGCGGACGCCCTTCGCCGCGGCGGGCGCCTCGGCCTCGGGCCTCGCCCATGGCTGCCCTCGGCTGACAGGGCGACGAAATCTGGACATACCCATTGCCCCCTGGCCAGGGCCATCCTGACCTCAGCAGCGGTGTGTACGCCACGCCCTCCCGGCTTGGCCAGGACGGCCGTCAAAAAACGCCTCGGGATAAAATCAACGTGACGAAAGACCCAACCATATGCAGGTGTGATTGCCGCAATTGTGATTCACTTTTCGGCGGCGATCCCTATGAGGCAACGAACCGTGCTAGAGGTGTGCCGGAATGAGTGGCGTGGTACACAACGCGAACGAAAACGATTGATCTGAGTACGTAGGGAGACTGAGCGCGGGCGAATCTGAGCGCTAGTGCGTCTGACTGTGAATGAATCTGCGTGCGAGCGAGTCTACGTGCATGAATGCGAGTATGACAAAGCATTGTGTATAGAATTGTATATGAATGTCCATAGTTTGAGAACGACTGCCTCTGAGTACTCGTGACGCTGGGCGTGGCCGCCGAAAAGAGTTTCCCCGGGACTCCCCGACGGCATCGCCCGCGCGCCGCGACGCCAATGTCGGCGCGCCCCCCCGCGAGGATCGCGCCCGCTTCCTCCCCTTCTTTTACTCCCTCTTTGCCCGCGCACAGCGACGACGGGCGAGCGAGGCGCTGGGCAGAACGCAGCACGGAGTCCCCGCGACGCGCGGTGGTCGCCCACGCGCGCGGGTCGTCCGCTGCGCGAAGCAAAGAGAGCTAGCTGGCTGGCTGATAGCGGGCACGACACGTGTCAGGGGTTCATGGAAATGGGTGGCGGGGACGCATGCGGATTGTGCCACTGGGACCTTCGGCGGAGCTCCTATGGGGCCACGAAGCGTGTGAGAGGTGGGCCGAAATGAGTGGCGGGGACGCACGCGGAATGTGCCACTGGGACCTTCGGCGGGGCTCCCTATGGGGCCACGAAACGTGTAAGCGGTGTGCCGAAATCGATGTGCGGGACGCATGCGGGCACACCCACTGGGACCTCCGGTGGAGCTCCCTATGGAGCCACGAAGCGTGTGAGGGGTGTACCGAAA